ATTGGTGCCCAAAATTCAACTGCATATTCCAGATGAGGTGTTACTAATGATGTGTACAGGGGTAATATGATATCTCTCTCTGGAGCCTATACCTTAATACAAGAGAGGATTTTGGTCGCTTTAGAAACTGCAGCTTGGCATTGCATGTCATTATTAAGCTTGTGATCTACCAGAACCCCCAGATCCTTCTCCACCATTGATTCCCCCAGTTGTACCCCACCCTAATATGTATGATGCATGCATATTCTTATCCCCCAAGTGCTAACCTACATTTATCAACATTAAACCTCATTTGCCACATAGTTGCCCAATTAAACAGTACATTGAGGTCGGCTTGTAAATTGGAGACATCCTGTAAGGACGTTATTCCTCTGCACAGCTTGGTTTCATCTGCAAAGACTGAAATGGGATTTTTAATCCCAGACCCTATATCATTTATAAATATATTAAAAAGTAAGGGTCCCAACACTGAACCTTGGGGTACACCAATGACAACCTCAGACCATTCAGATTATGAATCATTAACCACTACTCTCTGAATACAATCTTTTAGCCAGTTTTCTATCCATTTACATACGGATTTTTCCAAGCCTGTAGACTTTACCTTACACATTAGCCGTGTGTGGGGAACTGTGTCAAACGCTTTTGCAAAATCCATGTATACCAAGTTCAACGCCACTCCTCTGTTCAACGTTTTGTTCACCTCCTCATAAAAAGAAATCAGATTTGTTTGACAACATCTGTTTTTCCAGCAAGAACTCATCTATGTGGTCTTTTATTAAACTCTCCAGTATCTTCCCAACTATAGAAGTTAAACTAACAGGTCTGTAATTACTTGGTTAAATGTAAGACGAATTGCAGAGTATATGGCCAGCTTGTGGTCAACTTTGTGAACACAAATAAGATGAAATATGGTAACAAGCTGCCATCTAGTGGCTAACAAATATAACTAGAGATAGAATTTGGATGACTCTGGATGTTAGGGCCATTTCCAGATGCAAAATCAGTGCTCACTGTATGCAGTTCTGACAGTACTTGTAGACTCAAGACGCAGAAGGTACAAAATATTTACTAAGGCTGGTTTACACTAAATAAAGTCCAGTACCTATTTTTCTGTATCAGAAATGCATGCACAGTGTTTTCCATGTAGTCCAAGGCTCTACTTGACTTGACACTTTCTGGGGGTCAGTAGTATTGCTGGGATTATCATCGCTGGCCCTGACATTTGCTGGGGGTTTGTATTATAGGGGGATTATCATCACCTCACGTGCTGAGGGTTAGTTTTGTCGAGGATTATCACCTTGGCCCTGTCACTTACTAGGAGTTTGCATTGCTGTGGATTATCATCAATGGTCCTGATACTCACTGGGGATTATTATTACTGGTGATTATCACTGCTGTCCCTGACACTTACTGGTTGTTAGAAGTACTGGGTATTATTGCTGGTCCTGACACTTAATGGGGGTTAGTGTTGCGGGGGATTTGCATTGGTGGCCTTGACACTTACTGGGGGGTACGTATTGCTGGGTTTATCACTGACCCTGACACTTACTGGGAGTTAGTATTATTGGGGATTATCATCACTGGCTCTGACCCTTGCTTGGTTTAGACATGTTTGGGATTATCATCGATGTCCTCACACTTACTGGAGTTAGCATTGCTGGGGACCATCATCTCTGGCCCTGACACTTGCTGGAGGTTACTATTGCTGTGGATTATCACTGGCCTTGACACTTGCTGAGGGTTAGCATTGTTGGGGATTATTGCTTGCCCTGACACTGGAGGTTTGTATTGCTGGGGATTGTCTTTGCTGGCCCTGGCCCTTGATGAGAATTATCATTGCTGGCCCTGATGATTAATGAGGGTTAGTATTGCTGGGGATTATCATTGCTGGCCCTGATATTTGCTGTGGGTTAGTTTTACAGTGGATTGTTATTGCTGGCCCTGATGCTTATTGGGGGTTTATATTTCTGGGAATTGTCATCACTGGCTCTTATATATGCTCAGGACTATTATGCTGGCCCCAACTGGGCCCATTTTAAATAGGGACTCCCTTTAAATAAGTGCATTACGATGCATTAATTTTGAAGGCACACAAAACACTATTAGGACTCATTTATACTTGCTTCTACTTCAACACACATTAAAGCGCCTACTGCTTCAACATGCTTTTTTGATGTGTTTTTGATGCTTCAAAGATGCTTTGGTGGTTCTTCAATGATGCTTCGGTGGTGCTTCAAAGATGCTTTGGTGGTGCTTCAATGATGCTTTGATGGTGCTTCAAAGATGCTTTGGTGGTACTTCAATGATGCTTTGGTGGTGCTTCAATGATGCTTTTGTGAAGCTTTAATGAAGCTGTGTGTGTGTGAATATCTCATACCTGCAATACCTCCAAAACAAAGCGAAGCCAAAGCTGAATAAAAGTTTCCCAAAAGCTACAGGTCATAGCTTTGTCATAGACTTCTATGGAGGCTTTGAAGACGCTTTGAAGCACCATTAAAGTGACATGGGGTATAACTTTTGAAGCGAAGCAAAGCAAACACAGGACTGTAAACTTTTTATTTAGTAACAAGTGCTTTGATTGGCGTTCAGAGTGCTTTAAAAAAGTGTGTCCAATGCCATGTTTTGAAGCTAGTGTAAACAAGCCCTTACAGTAGTGGGCAAAGTACCGGCACTGCAGTGCACCACAACATGCGTTAAAGTGCCATTGGCCAGCATTGCTGTACTCAGTCCCAATATAAGAGTATAGGACACTTATATACATTATTCTGTGCTCTCTGCTGTATATTGCCAATTCCACATCACCTGACATCAATGCTGGGGGTTGTTATTGTGTCCACTCAAGTCAATGCAGGGGATTTTTATTGCATCCACTGACACCAATGCTGGAGGTTTTTATTATATTTTTATTGTACTCCTACTTCAGTGTGCATTGCTATGCACTGCAAAATATACAGCAGGGCCAAAGTTTTGGGGCATTGAGGTGCCTCACCACTGGAGTCTTGAAACTGGTTGGGTTCCCCCGAAGATCAGATCCTGCAGGAGGTGCAACACTTGCAGTTCCACAAGGCAGCAAACATCCCAATGCTGGGATCCCCAGGGATATTACCCATTGGCCATCTGAAGGCTTAACATTGGAGTCTTTTTTTTGTTTGTTGTTTTTTTCTTTTGGCAACTGGACATTCCGCATGTGCGTTTCTTGTCTGGTTGCTAGTAAACTGCTTTGCACTTCAACAGCCACCCAGGTCTGTTCAAAGCACTGGTTACCCAGCAAAGGTCCCCTAGTCCACTTGCAGATGTAGAGATTATGCCTAGGTCAGGACAGTTTATATGAAGCTTTGCCCTACCATGAAGACCCCTACCTCCTGGAGCTGTAATAGCGAGTGCAGTTAACAAATTCAGAGTGGGTGTCCGAAACCAGGCTTTGGCACAACAGAAATAAAAAGACTGCAAAAGGAACTCAGGCAGGGCAGCAGTAGGAATCTCTGACCAGACAGGAAAGTTACAGTAAAGAAACAGAGCAATGATGGTACATTACACAGACATCCTGATATCCTGATGCCTGGGCTCCGAAAAGGCAGAAATTAAGCAATGGCTTACTTTTATACCCCTCCCCCTCCATTCCAAGTAAAGGCACACCCTTCAATAATTTCCAATATTTTGCCATTTCTGGGGTGATGTTTTGGCCCAGTTCTTGAGCAATGAAGTAGTGGCCCAATTCTGGGGCAATGTTGTGGCCCGGTTCTGGGGCGATGTAGTGGCCTGGTTCTTGGGTTATGTAGTGGCCTGGTTCTGGGATGCTGTAGTGGCCCGGTTCTGGGGAGATGAAGCGGCCCGGTTCTGAGGTGTTGTAGCAGCCCGATTCTGGGGTGATGTAGTGGTCGATTCTAGGGTGATGTAGTGGCTCAATTCTTGGGAGATGTAGTGGCCCAGTTCTGGGGCAATGAAGTAGTGGCCCGATTCTGGGGCAATGTTATGGCCCGGTTCTGGGGCGATGTAGTGTCCCGATTCTTGGGTGATGTAGTGCCCTGGTTCTGAGCTGATGTAGTGGCCCAGTTCTAGGGTGAAGAAGAGTCCGGTTCTGTGGAGACAAAGAGTCTGGCTCTGGAGTGACGAAGGGGACCTGTTCTGGGGTGACGAAGGGGCCCTGTTCTGGGGCGACGAAGGGGTCCTGTTCTGGCGACGAAGGGGGCCTGTTCTGGGGCGACGAAGGGGGCCTGTTCTGGCGCGACGAAGGTGGCCTGTTCTGGGCGACGAAGGGGGCCTGTTCTGGGGCGACAAAGGGGGCCTGTTCTGGGCGACGAAGGGGGCCTGTTCTGGGCGACGAAGGGGGCCTGTTCTGGGCGACGAAGGGGGCCTGTTTTGTGGCGACGAAGGGGGCCTGTTCTGGGGCGACGAAGGGGCCCTGTTCTGGCGACGAAGAAGGCCTGTTCTGGGGCGACGAAGGGGGCCTGTTCTGGCGCGACGAAGGGGGCCTGTTCTGGGCGACGAAGGGGGCCTGTTCTGGGGCGACGAAGGGGGCCTGTTCTGGGCGACGAAGGGGGCCTGTTTTGGGGCGACGAAGGGGGCCTGTTCTGGGCGACGAAGGGGGCCTGTTCTGGGGCGACGAAGGGGGTCTGTTCTGGGTGATGTAGGGGGCCTGTTCTGGGTGATGAAGGGTGAACGATGTTGCCTATAGTCAGTACAAGGTTTCTGTTCTCGCTGGAACTTGGTGACTGCTTCCAGTATGATGGGTACATTTATTTATTATGTATAATAGTAATCATGATTGTTTTCTTCCAATCTCCTATCAGTCGGATAATAAGAGGCGCCCCCTCCAGGTCATCCAATGTACAGTACAGGATGGCTCTGTGTATTCTCTATTGGTGGAGAACGCTCTCTGTAGAGGAGGCTGTTCTCTGCCGATCCTATGGCTCCATCTAGTGGAAGAAGTGTGTGGTGCACAGTGACACTGTCCGTGGAATAAAGCTGTGTGTTGTTGAAGAGAAACGGAAGTGTAGGATGATGGTGGTGCCGGGTGTTGTTGTGAATTGTCAGGGAAGATGAGTGAGATCGTGGAGAGGACACTGAGCGCCCTGCCTGGCCTCCTACTACAGGAGCCCCCGCCTGGAGCCAGTTCTAAGCTGGGGAGTCTGATCAGGAATATCACCGGGCTCAGCTCCAGACAG